CTCTATGCGATCTCGTAGCCCACTTCAGAAACTTGCCCAGACGCTAATTCATTCAAAATCAGCCCGTTTGTTATTTCTAACCAACGTTTTTAAGCCATGCTAACTTCAAACTTAAACATCAAAGCTCGTCTCTAGCACAAAAATCTTAACATCATTAATATTCACAATAAAATAGATAAATTGGTACACGTACATTTCGCTGCTGCCGTATATGTCAATCAATTTAATTGATGACTGCTAGCATTATATTTTTAAAGAGCGAACATATAACCCAAATGGGAGACAACAGTATTTAAATTTTACAGGATTTGTTATAATCTCTTGTAATTACAGCTATTCATTCATTAGTTGGATGTTCATTTTTGAGAACGACGTTAAATTTAGGATTTCTAACTTCACAGGATTTAATTTTCGGCTTATGTTACAATGAGTCAATGACCTTTTTGATTTAGAACCTTAATGTTCTTCATCATAGGTAATTTAATTATAACGACAGGTATATTAGTTATAACGACTTTTCTCAGTGAGCGGGATCAGTGCCCACTGACGTATGAGCGGTGGCGATCAAGCACCGCGGTACATGTGCATCCTACCAATTTAACTAATTTACTTTCCGATTTTTATCTCTTACTTTCTTCTTTTTACTTTCTTCTTTTATCTCTTTCTGATTTTTATCTTTTTTATTTATTTTGATCTTACATCTTTATAAAGATCAAAATGGCTATGTTCTACATGGGAACATGCTAGTTCGTTGGCAATAATTGTAGCAAAATCACCAGTTAGATGGCCATTCGCTGTATTAATTATGCAGTATTATTAATAAGATGACTCAACTTATAGTCTGGCGATCCTATTAGATGCCTTGACAGTTGCTGTTGGNGACTGCCATCGACAGTCGCTGCCACATCGCTGCCACCTTCTCACGACACTGCTGATTTGTAGAACGCTCGCACACGCCCTCAGCTGAAGCACAGCGCCGGCCCTTTCGTAGTCGCTCGTAGTCGCCCTCAGCTCTGCATGTTCGTACTGGATTCCAAAGATCGCAAAAAAATTTCAAGGACGCTTCAAATTTCTCTGCGTCAGTCATAGGTTCAAATAAGAAAATCTTGACGTTGCAGGTAAACACCAAAACGCGCCAGTCATAAGTTGAATATACAGTTTTCGGCTGCTGTAATAGTGTGATTAGTAGATGAAGGTCTTCTTGGATTCCGTTGATCACACGTTTTAATGTGTATAAACATAGCAGAAACGATCCGTTGAAAGGCTTGACCGCACGAAAATAACTATGCGACAGTGTTGCTATAGTCACAAATACTTCACTCCACCGTATTTAAAGTCTCACAATTATAGTCAAGCAGTCGAATTTCACTTTTAGGAAAACACGGCTATTATCGCATTATTCGGGTGCCACTTGTCCGTCTTGATAGATTATTGATTATTGTTGCACCTCGTGACTGGAGAGATTATCTGTATAAAGGGTGGTATTATGTGAGAGTTAAAACAGATATAAGCGAGTGCTAGCCAGGCAGGCAGAGCACTCTAGCGACGCTTTACATCGCGGAGCGCTTATCAACTACTGCGGGGGCCTTATTTAAGGTTGCTAGCCCTTATATATAGCCTTCGCTTCCGCCCACAACTAAGGTCTTGATCGCGTTATTTATCACGTGTCTTTCAGATGCTGTCTCATGTCATCAATCTCTATCAGGTCAAGTAAATATTACGTCTCAATTACATACAATTATAATGAGACGCCAGATTGACAGGACAATTAAACAATTTGGACGGATTTGCAGTACATAGACCGGTACTGGGTGAGTGGCTACTTTAAAGACTGGGACACTGAGTACTGGTTTTGGCTCGACGGTCCCTCGATCCCTATGAGAGTTCCGTTGTGGGGGCAGGTCAGATGGCTGATGACAGATTTTTAGAACTGGTAGGGACTCTAATAACAAGAAATCAATAGTAGCGCGGATGGTTCCAATTTATTCACTAATCGATTCATCCTTACCCCTATAACAAATTTATTAGAACGCGAATTAACATGTGTTGCATAAACGATTATTTCTTCATTGACTACATATTTAATTAGGAAAATCTGTAAACTAGCATCTTTTGTAAACAAACTGTCAGTACGACATCATCGGTATTCATTACGATAATTCTAATTTATAAGACGAAAGTCTTTGTCTGTACTTACCTCTAGAAAAAAAATAACGGATAATAAATATTATTTCTCAAGCATCATCATATCTATCAAATTGACTGATATTTTTTCTCTAGGTTAGTTTTACGTCGGAGAATTGCTCCTCGGCAACCCGCCAGTCGAGCGGTGTCTGGAACTCGGTTATGAATATCGGCATCGGTTCAACGATCTTGACTGCCTAGAGTTGCGCCCGCGGCTATGCATGGCATCTCCAGTTGAATGACTATGTAAATGTGAGAAAATCAAATTTTCGTGGTATAATCATATTTGATTAGTTCAATGATTCAGAGCAATACCATTCAAAAGTAAATAAACTCGTGCACAAGAGACCACAAGAAAATATATCGTAATCTGGATTTAAATCAGGGCATCATTGCATATGTCAGCATTCTCTAAACAAATTCGAAATAGAATGTAGGTAATGTACGCCAAAAACATGTATTTGCTCATAATTACACGTATTGCAAAAAAAATTTTGGTGCTGCTCTTGACGCTTCATCTGTGAGCCCTTCGATCTGTTGTACCCTAGGATTATTTTGCTTGAACCTACCCTTAACTATTATATTTTGATACAAGATTAATTTCAGAGTAAATTATTATACAAAATAATAAAATTTTTACATAATAGAATCAATTTCGTATTCGATTAATCAGGTTTCGTCTCCCCTCTCCCGGTCGGCCAACTCCATTTCATTCACAGCCGTTCTATACCCGCAAGTTTGTGAGTCTGCGACAGAATTTGACGGAACGTGAAACTTTACAATACTCGACACAGTCTTTAACTTGTGATTTTCTCAATTTTTCGACTTGTTTTTGATTCTTCCAATGTACAATGACATGACAGAGAGGAAAAAACTAGTCGGAAACGCCGCTAGTTCTGCTAGGCAAAATGCAAAGACCGAGTCATAAAAAGTGCGAGAAGAATTTTGAAAATTTGCTAGCTTTTCCTGGCCAACATGCATCGATGATTCAATAGTCACCTGTAAGCTCTGTGGGTATTTCATTTGCAACAGTTGTGTGAAGTTGAGCAATGCAGAAAGAGCAGTTACTCGAAGAAACGAGGTAGTGCACTGGCATTGTCAGGACTGTCAGCAATCAGCACATTGTGAAGTAAGAAGCGAAAAACTTTGTGGAAGAGAAGGGATCTTCCATGTCCACAGGCTTTAGAGCCGAAAAGGAAGAGACTCACATGAAAGAGCTGGGCTTGTTTCGTTTAGAATTAAGCTCGTTACGGACAAAGGTAGTAGAAATTGAAGCTCATTTTATAACAAAAATAAAATAACGATAACCTAGAGCAGTGGTTCCTAAATTTTTTCAGCCTGGCGTCCCCTTTGGCTCCCCAGTGAATCTCTGGCGGTCCCCCCTCCCGACAGACACATATAAAAACAAACACCTCTTTCTTGATATTTAGTATGCTGCAATTATAAAAGAGAAAGGTTCAACACAAATGTGTATTTCACAAATAGAACCCCATTTAATAAACCAATATATTTTTTACAGTTTTAACTGTTTCAGCACTAGAAATTCAGGACGGCTTGGACAAATTTACGGCCGGACTCGTGGTTGGTCTCGCGGCCGGTCTCACGGCCAATCTCCAAATTCAGTGACCAAGGAATATCTCCCAAACTAAAGAACGCAGCTCTATAAAAATTGGAACACGTATTCATTAGGACCTAACGGTGATGGCACTTCTTCGCAGACAAGTGAGAGAGTTACTGCTGACTCTGCGTTCATCGCTGATTGTTGTGGTAAGGTCCTCAGCTTTTGTGTGAATACATCGGCAAGAGGCTACGACCGGAAGACGCTGCCAACTGTAAACCGCTGCTGGTGAGTGTGAATCGGAACAAAGTCATATATAATCACGTATCTCGATATTCTTTAAAATTTCTGGTTAAGTAGAAATCTACTTAATCGCCTCAGCACAAATTGGCTAGGAACTACTTTACCGTAGATAGCATGGAAGTTCGTGCGAATCATAGTTTTGTTATCGCCAATTGCAATCGCATCCATGTGGCGTATTTGAGCGCCGTTCCCACGTACATCGATGGGGCTACGTGCAAACAAATTACATACACGCTGACGTGATTTCATCGTAAGAGCTGCAGTGACGTTGTGTCATCACAAGAGCTGCTGTGACGAGGTCACATCATTAGAGCTGCTGTGACGAGGTCTCATCATGTGAACTTCAGTGACGTGGTTTCATAATATGAGCTGCAGTGACGTGGTCTCATCATAAGAGCTGTAGTGCATGGTTACCATTTAGTAGGATATAGTAGGTATAGTTTTTCATAATAAAAATTAACTTTCATCGTCGTGGCACTTTTTTAGCTCGGTAACGTTGATGCACCCAGCACAAGAGTTCACGGAATCGTTCCACAAGTTTTTTTTTTAAACTGAGCGCATTTCATTTTCACATTAATAATTTGCCTTCGTCCTTTCCATTGATAATGTTAGGGAACATCTTCAATTTGATCAAATCAGTAATTATCATTTGGTCGTAACAATTTGTCAACTGTGATTTAGAGTTCTCGGCATTTTAGGTTCTGTATAGAACCGGGATTTATTCATTTTTGGTTAAGAGATCGAGAGGAATACAAGATCACGACGTAATTATACAGTCATATGTTACCAAATATATTATGAACACTTATGCGTATCTGAACTGAAACCTTTGCATGACGGTATTCGCGATACAATGAAAAAGACTTACTGCGCAGTTTCCCAGAAATATTAGAAGCGTGGGAATCACCGCAATCTGTGCAGGCCAATATTGAAGTAGCTACAGTGGCCTCTCCTTCAGTGGCTGCCAAGGTGAGGTCGGAAAAGCACAACAATCAAGTGTCAGGGTGCAAGAATTGGTAGTTGTCCCATTACATCTCCGATATTATCGACTTCTTCAATATTTCCAGGTAAATCTACATTTTACATTGGCTTTTATTCCTATGCGAACGTACTCAGCATTGAAAATTTTTAATTATCATGAAATGGGGAGAGCACTATATCATATGAGTAATATATCTGTTGAGAATATTTTATTAAGTTCAATCATTACAAAAAAATTGTTCTGATGTTTTTGAGAATTCTTTCTTATAAAAAAATTCACAAATACGACAAGTTCATTGGAAGCCGTGAATTAGTGTACCCATTTAGTTAACCCTGGTGTCACACTTTAATGCATCGATGAGATCGATCGCATTGCGTTTTAACTGTACATTATTTAAATAACATGATACGGCTGCAATTTCTTCCCCAGGTAATAATTCTCACTGAACCGCGATGTGGCAAACTCGTCTAGCCACGGCATCACTGCTTCTGGTCGTTGGTAAGAAGGCTTCGGACCAGCACTTGCTTCAGTTCAATTCAAATTTTGTTTTAAAATATTTTTTCTACTTTGCGAAATAATTTAATCTGATCGATAAAAACAAAGTTTTGGCGCAAAACATAGCTATGTTTTTGCAATTTCAATCGTAAACTTTAAAGTTTTTCAATATTCATACAGTGCCTAGCTGTAAAAATAGTACTATGAAAGCACATGATAAGTCAAGCCTTTCACGCTGAAATTATGCACTTATATGATCATCCCCTCATGGGTGACTTCTGGCGTGTGTCTGTGCTTGCCAGAAGTCCTATGGGATTTCGTGCTCCTAGGGGGATTGTTCCTGAGCGCCCCACCGCTGAGCTCGCGGTGTCTGACTGCAGGTCTCAGTTGTGGGGTTAAGTTATTATGTAGGCAGGATTCCTTACATTAAGTTATTATGTAGGCAGGATTCCTTACATTTCCCTTCTCTGTCTCTCTCGTGCGGGCGACCGACGCCCCGTGTAGGCGACTTCTTGTTTGAGTGTCTTAGTTTGTGTTGCTTTTCACCTGTTCCTCCTTGTCACTTCGTCTCTTTGAGATGCCAACGCTGCTTATTTAGAGCCAGCTTAATTAAGCGGGTTGGATATTTGAGACCTTTCGCTCCTTGTGAGCTATGATAAATTTTAGACTTTGAATGACTGAGACCTTCCGCCTTGCTGACGATATTATCTTTTGACCTTCGATGCGAAATAACCTGATAGCTGACGCGCTAGAAAACCGTGCTGCTAATACATCTCTCAATTATTGATCTATCAATGCATTTTACTGGCAATCATTTGATCGTTTCGATCTAATTCTACGCATTAAATTCATCATCCCAGCTAAACCATCTGATCATTTGGATTTTTTATTTATATAAACTAAATCGATAAATTCAGCGCACGCACTGAATTGCCCTGAGAATTACGATGACATCGGAAGCGGCTGCGTGCTCGCCCCGCTGGAGTTTTTGCCCGCGCTCGAGGCCCAGAGCCTCTGTCACGAATTACGTACCCTTACCCTTACGTACCCTTAGGGTACGTACACAGTGAAAGCAGGTTGCCAGCGTGCTGGTTACCTGCTGAGGCTGGCGCCTGGAACAAGCGCTAGTGGGTGTTCACAGAGGAAGCAGGAAACCTGCTGCTACCTAATCAGTGCTCTGGGTGAGGAAGTGTATTATTAGTGTATTTTATTATTGTACTTTATTAGTGAACTTAATTGGTGCACAAGTGTATTTTATTAGTATTTTTTATTAGTGTATTTTGTTGGTGTATTTTATTAGTGTACTTTATTAGCATATTTTATTGGTGTATTTTTATTAGTGTATTTTTATTAGAGTATTTTATTGGTGTATTTTTATTAGTGTATTTTTATTAGTGTATTTTATTGGTGTATTTTTATTAGTGTATTTTATTAGTGTATCCATGTTTTTACAATAGGCTTATCTGAGGTACGAAATAATTCATAAGAAACAAAGAAAATGGAGAGTTTAAAGGTACAACTAATTAAAAAATGACCATATGCCAAGCAGGTTGAGCAGATTGCAAATCAATTCTCTCTCACTCAATCTATTGACTTTAGTGAATTTTTGTAGAGATTCCTAGAGGTCGCTTAATACACCGGAAGAAGTAACACCAGAATTAATGTTGCATGAGTTATTAACTAAAAGATTTAATCAATCCGATGAGTGTAAGAGAAAAAGGTGAATTCGCATTACGTGCCCTCACACATGTGGGCGCCGCATGTGCTCCAATACGCAAACCATATTCTACTCGATAATTGCCCATACAATAACGCTCAAGCTCCAACTGTAAAGGTTTAAATGCTTCTTTGATTCAAGTGCACATCAAAAACAGCTTTCAGTCTTACAGCTTATAAGTTCCAACAATGCGGGGGTATGTGAAGGTCTACCTCCCGCACCCCATCCAGGCAGAGCATTAGCCGTTGCAGCAATAGCAAGGTGCCAGTTTAAAACTAACAGAGAAGCAGCACGCAGTGAAGAGTGATCAATTCTTATCAAAAAGGTTGAATAGTTTTGTCTCCTTCAGAGAGATTTAAACGATTTGATTGTAATGACCATTGCACTTGTAGACATTGAACAGGATGACAATTAATATCTTGAGTGCTTGTGGAAGTGTTTTCTTGATTTCGAATTGTCTGGAGAATACTGTCTTCAAGCCCACAAAATAATTATGGCTCTAATAATAGAAATGTTCACCTTTGCGCATATGTCTGCTAGAGCGGCTATATAAGTAGCTCTTGCAGATATGCTTTAAGTTGAAATTTCCAAGCATCCCTAGGGTCGACAGCTTAATTATTGAAGATTGCAAAAGAACGTTCGTAATTTTCGGGTGCCTCTGAAAACTAGTCCAGGGGCCGTATTATCAAAATTTCGTAACTTTTTGTACTTCCGACAAAAAGTTACGTGTTACGTAAGTGCACCCTAATTTTGGCATTATCAAAACATTCGCACGTAAGACTTAGCTAAAAGCGTACTATCAAAACCATCTGGCCAACTGACCAATCAGAGGCTTTGGATTTGTTTACATTCTGTGAACTTCGATGCCGGGAATCGATGCCTTCGATGGTATCGACTATCGAATGCTGTCTGTCGGTATTGCTCCTTGTTGGCCCAGAAAAAGCCGTTCTAAAATAGTTGTGAACTCTTTTTAATAAACACCGTGAGTTGAAGAAGAAATCTGTGTACGGAGCTAAAAATTATGGTTGGCAGAGATATAAAGTACCGACAAGAAGGAATGAATGAATTGAATTTTTGAAAATGAATGAAGAAATTTGTGAACATTTTTGAAAAAATTAATTGAATTTTTTTCCAGTATCACTGTTTAGCACGATCACATATTTTGATCGTGCAAATGTTGCACGATCAAGTAGTGGACCCATCACAAGTAGAGCCATCATTCTATGCGTGTATAATCCGCGCTGTCGGATTGTTGACAAAATTCTATCACAAGTCAAGGTGTTGCTACTTGCTAGTAAATCAATAGTTTCCTATCGCTTTAAAAGAAACTCTAAACTTGTGCGGAACTCCACTTACGACAACTCCGAGCAGGCGTACAGTTACGTTACGTATCTTCCCGCGCAAATGTTTTGATAATACCACCTCTAGAGTTACGTCATCAAGTCAGCACTTACGCCACTCGTAAGTCGATTTTGCGTACTTACGAAGTTTTGATAATACGGCCCCAGTGCGGTACAAGAACGTTCGAGCTGCCTTAACCGTCGTGTCAATGTGAACTATAGCGTACAAGGAGGCAGGGAGAACGTGTTTAAACGGGATCCCATTTGTGAGCAACTTATTTGATTTTACATTGCTATTTCACATTACTATTGTATATTCTGCCATAATTTTGGTTATCAATCCAGGAATTTAGAGTGCAGTTGATAATTTGAAAGCTTGAAATGAATTTCATTTTAGAGCTCAACTCTTCAAATGCAGAAAAAATCGTTGACTCCTGTGAAGTGTGATCGGGTAGCTGCTTACTGCAATCAAGCTACTGCGGTAACTTGAATTTGTTAAGATTAACACTCAATTTTCTATTGTGTTGTCTTCCTTAAATTATGACGTATTTGACTGGAAAATTTTAATTGTGAAGGAAAATTGGTTAGTTTTTCCTTCAAGTATTTCTTATGATGTAGTTGTATAGTGTATCTTTCACCATCAATTTTTTGAGAACACAGCAATTTTACGATGCAAGTTCTTCTTTCGACAACAATAGAAGATTTCAGCTTAAGGAATATGTTCTGCATCAGTTGTTATTTGATCGGCTTACGCACGTATCCCTCAGGTTCTAATCTTTAATCCATCGCTCCAACTAGATAAATTTGTGGAACAGGAGATTGTGAATTTAGAGAACCGATTTGAGTTTCTTGGTTAGGCCAGGCTGTCGTCGTCGGCTTCAAAGCCTCATTGTAATTAAATGTATGTATTCCTCGGATTCAATTACATTAGTGCTGTATAACGTACCGTAGTATCATTAGGTTAGTTACTGCAGTCGAGCATCATTATTAATTTGTTCTTTGTTTATTGTTAATTGGAATTTTTTAACATAGTTTCTGGAAATTGTTTATTCCGGTATCGAAAACATTATATACATATATTATTCCTGTTTCAAACTCGTGTTTACTTGCCACTTGCTTCATTGTGTCGAGATGATACATGTCTAGTCTGCTCATATACATATATAGCGTTCAGCGATTCAAATGCCCCCTCCCTTCCTCCCATAAAGGACGAAAGGGAGGGGCATTTTTAACGCATTTTCAGATTGGGCCGCGTCTGTCTCGAGCGTATCAGGTACCAAATACGCGCGCCCCGCAGTCGCCCCAAGGTTATCAAGGAATAGGCCGGCTCCTAATCAGGTTCTTATTTCCCTTGTACAACCAGAACCCAAAGCGGACATAAAGCCGCTAATTTACACAACTTGGCGAGCTTGGGGCGTCCTTGAGCCAGCGGCTGACCGGAATCAAAACTTTGATAGCGTATGAACGAGGTTACAGAGGTTAATTGAAGCTCTAGAAGAAAAATAATATGTCTTCTAACCTCTAACTTCTAATGAAACTATATATAAAGGGGATGAAAATAAATGATAAATAAAAATGATAAAATGAAACTATATATAAATTAACTATATCTAACTTGATGTTAGGGAACCCTTTGGTTCCCTAACATCGTTGATACGTTACTTCACGAGCCGCGTTGGACGCCTAATTTATACGAGCTTACTTGTCGGTCATCCAAGTGACATTTAGGGCTTGACTCTATATATGTTTAGCAATTATTTATTTTGTAATGATATAAAATTTAAATTAAAATTTCTTACATTAAACCAGGTAGGTAAATCTTCAACATTATATTTCCAGCATTGTTCTCTAAACAGTATTGTTTTTACCAACGAACACCGGTCTCATCAATTTTAAATTAATTTAAAAATCACATTTTTGTACCATGTAGCGTGCTGCAACATTTACGAATTATGGCGTAATCATTATTCGTATTGAATTTACATGATAATTTACTCTTACTTACCAAACAATGTCATCATTAAGACAAACACATATATAAATCTGACTAGGTATTTACAAAGCGAAACAAATATGAAACTTTCCGAGTATTTTGCTAATAAATAAATTCATCAACTGAACGGAACAGTGACTAATGAACTTATGAATAATCGTGAAATATATCAGTGCTCATGATCATAATAAAATCGCAACCATCTACAAGATTGATTTATGTCATATTAATGTCATATAGGCTCTTGATCCATTTCAAAGCTCATGCTCAGAAGGGTTGCTAAAACATGTATGAATATTATACAGTATTTAGTCAGTGGTGTCAGTATTCGAAATTGGACTATGTTTGGTGTGGCGAAGATTCTAGACATCTAAGAAATTTTTTTCAGCCGGCTGAAGTTATAGAACCTGCAACTCATTGCCACTATCTTGCTACACCATAAGCACCCGGCGACCTTGACGATTTCGTCTAGAAATTTTTCTGTGAGCGTGGGCTTCAGTACTGCATCTCGCCTCTTCAATCTCAGCTAATTTAACATTTAACCAATTAGCCATCATCACGAACGTAAAATTTTTTATTCACTTTGACCGTTAAAAAACGTCCCACTTCAAATGGAAGGAATGTACAAGAAAGGCTTCAATCTCTTTCATAATCATTAAATCTTCTCTAATAATTGCAGGAAGCACATAAGCTCTTTTTAAGAGAGCTGAGGATCTAAAGGAGAGTAATTGAGACTGAGAGATGTGTTACAAAAATCTGCTTCCTTACGCACAACTGATCTTGAACACAGTTGAACTTATCAGCGATCTGCGCAGATACACGTGATCAAACTTTTAATGACTGCATCTAAAGAATGTACTGTGCAGAAATTCAACCTTTGGAGAATACAATGTTTTCGTCCCTACTGATGTCTGCCAGTCTCATTCTAAATATAAATTGAAAAACGTGTTGTAGAAAGGACTAAATGGTC